ATTCTTTAAATCTTAAAAATCTGAAAGCTCTCCCTCAGCATAACAAAAGATTGACTAATAAAGCATCTCTGTTTGTTTTATCTAACACATTTAACACATAATTTAAGTGAACAGTGAGGTAGTAATGTTGTTAACCAGAAAGCTCTGTTATTTAGCTCTATCTCTCTTTGCTAGCCTTACTTTCTGTTATAACGTCTGACAGTTTTTTGGATCATGCTCATGTGTTGACCTGCAAGAGCATTATTAACAGTGCAAGCTTGACTTGTGGTTAGATGTCCACTATGAGCAGAGAGAAAGAGCTGATGATATCTTTACACTTCTCTCAGAAACAACTGTAACTATAAGATATGCATGAGGTCATGAAGTGCTTCTGGTAAAGAAAACACAGATAGACTTGCATGCAATTAGTATGTGTGAGTTTCATATAATGCTAAAAGCTAAAGATGAGCTCTGCCTGTCTGAATGTGAGAAAACATTTCAGCTGTTAAAAAATTCCCTTTAATATTCTAAATTAATTTGGCTAATGGCCGTCCATGTAACAAAACCATTGATAATCTCTTTTTGAGTACATTCTTCTTCATCTGCCAGGTTAAAGTCCATTATACATGTAAGGTAGAAACAATGTTGATTAAAAAGGAAGTTATGGTAGCTTACAAGTTAGCACTCCTGAAAAACTCTCAAGTCTGACTCTAAGACCAATATGATGCAAAAAATAAAGATAAATAGCTTCAAAAATGAGTAAAATGGCGATGTTGGTAATACTATTCACATTCCTTCCTTAAACACACCCACACTAGCCTCAGGAGACACGAGCACATGGCCTTCATTTTCTAGAAATGCTTTCTTTAGTTCAACCAAATGTTAACGAGATTTATTTTTTAAATCAATCATTAATCTGCGTTTTATTAACATCTACACCTACCCCAACCCTAAACCTTCCCTAACAGTAAGTGTCACCAAACTTATATTGACGTGAGCATGCCTAGGAATCCGCAGCTGTTTCCCCTCCTGATTTTAAGGTCAGTGGAGATAGAGACAGAGATGATGCATAATCAGTCACTTGTCGCCATCTCCTGGAGCAATTAGGTAACATGCATAGGCCCATTATTGTATCTCATACTGTCGATCATGGTAATACTTCAGTAAATAGGTAGGTAGGTAGGTAGGTAGGTAGATTGATTGATTGATTGATTGATTGATTGATTGATTGATTGATTGATTAAATGCATCTGTCAACTTAAAAAAAATGGATTTAAAATGATAAAGACTAAAAGTAGGCCTACTTAAGGTTTACCTCTATTTTAATAATCTACATGTACTACCACCACAGTGTGGATTAAGAAAACTTTAAAATACTTTAAGAAAATTAATTTAAGATAAGATTATACCAACCATCCAAGATCTTGGACAACATAAACACCTATTTATACACAAATACACTTCATTGAACATGTACACATAGACATCACATAGACTATATAACTGCATGTTAAATGTTTATATCTGTCTACCCTATACACAACTCCTTATCTTGTCTAAGTTTCATTATAATGCAATAATGTGCTTTTTTGTAAAACTGCTTTGAAACAATAATTATTTTGAAAAGCACAATACAAATAAACTTGAATTGAAAATTCATGATTCAATAGGCTAGTGAATCAAAACGAATATAGCTTGTGTAATATATGTGCAATATAATAATTAAGTTGAAGTTGGGAACTGTGAATGATTGAATTGAACTGAGTGTAATTTTTCTTTTCAGACTGCAACCTCTGTTTTGACTCGCCTGAAGCTGTGATCCGATTGGTTGTTACGGTTCTGATGGGCGTGGCTGCTTTGGCCGCGGTTGTTGTTCTGGTTTATGACATCAAAACCAGACGAGAAGAAGAAAGATTTAGCACCAGCTTTAGAGACTGATGAATTTTACCAATGCATTTTCCCTCTTAAATATAATCTACTGTTCAAAACAGAAATCAACTGCATCTGTAAAAAATTAAATTGGCGCAGTAAACTGTGAATGTAATCTTTATGCTTCACTCTTTACTTTTGATGTAACGAAAAATATTAAATATAAGTTCAATAAAAAAAACTGAAATGCTTTACAATAAAATTTATTTAGCAATAAAAATACTTTTCCCCATTTCCTATTGATTATTTCTGTTTTATTTATTTTTCTCTGCATGCAGCCTTTCAGTTGACAGATCTGTGATCTGATTGGCCATCTCTGCTTTTATGGGTGTGGCTGTTGATTGTTATTTCATTAGCATGATTGTAATGATATCAGAACCTTTTTTAAACTGTCTTTTTTTCTTGCTTTCTTTTTGGTCAGGCTAAATAATTAAAATGAATCACTGACGTCAGCTGTCTTTTTAATTTCAAAGACAATGATTTCTATACAATTTAAAATAAAACTAATTTTTCTAAAAAAAAAAAATTAGCAGAAAATTTGGACTATCGCCTAATCATTTAAAGATGTTTATCAGATCTTTGAACACAACAGATGTTTTTTAGAGCAATATTGCATGTACTGTACATAATATGTGACAAAGGGATAGTTCACCCTATAATAGATATTTACATTTACATTTAGCAGATGCTTTTATCTAAAGCGACTTACAAATGAGGAAAAGGAAGCAATTTACACAACTATAAGAGCAACAATGAATAAGTGCTATGGGCAAGTTTTGGGTAAAGAAAGTGTAAGAAGCAAAACATTAGTAAATATTTATTTTTATTTTTATTTTATTTTTTTTGTAGTAGTAGTTAGTGTTGGAGCCAGAGAGGGAATTGCAGATTAGTAAGGAAAGTGGAGACTAAATAGTTGAGTTTTCTTTCGTTCGGAAAAGTGATTTCTTCCCTCTATGGGATGGAATTACGAGGCGACGTTCATTCACAGAACGCAAGTTTCTGGAGGGCACATAAATCTGCAGAAGTGGGAGCAGATAAGAAGGAGCAAAGCCAGAAATCGCTTTGTAAGCAAACATCAGAGCTTTGAATTTGATGCGAGCAGCAACTAGCAGCCAGTGCAAACGGATGAGCAGCGGACGGATGAGTTCTGTCATCATTTCAGGATTTAAACAGCATGTTTCATTCTTCTACAGCATGTGGTGATTGCTAAATAAAATATCACAAAGGGATAGTATACCCAGTAATAGATATTTTGTTATCTTTATTTACCCTTCACATGTTGCAAACAAATTCCTTCTTTTGTTGAACACAAAAGAAGATATTTGAAAAGGGCTGGAAACCGGTAACTACTGACTTTCATAGTAATTGTTTGTTTCTATAACTACTATTTTCATTTATAGCACTTCATTTTGTATTTTTTGTTAAAATACACTATGAACAGCTACGCTAATTATTTACTTTATTCTCTATTTTTATTATTATACATCTTATTACATCTAGCGTTCTCCAGCGCCTAGAATGCAGCTCTGCACAAAAAGTATGGCCAGAGGAGAAATAGTCGTGCCCAATTGAGCCTGGTTTCTCTCAAGGTTTTTTCCTTCACTTTCGTCAATTGGTGAAGTTTGTTTCTTGACACTGTCACCACTGGTTTGCTTGGTTTGGAACTTGGGACTAGTGGAGATATGCATTGATGTATTTGCTCTTCAGTGATGGTACTTCCAGCAGTGAAAATAAACCACACTGAACTGAAGTTCAACTTTAAAAACTGAATTGACACAGTTTCAATTTACTAGAACTTCTATGTTAAGCTGCTTTGACACTATTTACTTTGTAAAGGCGCTATAGAAATAAACATGAATTAAATTCAATTGTTTGTAACTGTACACGGAAAAATTTCATAATTTGGACAGGAATATTGATTATATCACTTTTAGATTCACCTGAGATGACCTGTGTGAGAGATTTCTTAGACAGACCAGTAGGTGTTGCTGCAGGATCAGAATGTTGTCAAGCAAGTCCAACATGTGAAAACCTGTAATTAAAGCCAGAATAAAGTCAATATTTGCTTATATTCACTGGTCTTCTATTGCTAGTACACAATACCAATATTCAATTTTATCAGCATGTAAATCATATCTGTAATTTCTACACAACAAAAATGCAAAATAGAAATAAAACATGCTCAATATTTCAGTGAAAAAAAACCCAATTCTTTAGATTTACAATTTTTTTAGGTAAGTTGTTGGAAACAATTTATATGGGCTAGATTTAAACGAACAAATTTAGTAACGTTCAACTTAATTTGCTCAAATTCAACCCATATAAATTGTTTGCAATCATTTAAAATGAACTGTTTTTTTCAGTGATGTTGTATTTTGTATATCTAATATAGAGACTCCTGAAACTGAAACGAGAAAAAAAAAACCATGTCAAATTTTGTTACTGAGGAATGTCTTTATATCTATTCAACAAAAACACAAATAGGCGCAAGTTTATGTCTTCTGACATAGTCAAACAGCCAGGATGTGGTCTACTAGAACTCAACAGGGAGGAAAAAAAAAAAAAAAAAAAAAACTTTAAAGAGATGTAATAAACAAAAACAAACATACAGACACCAAATTAAAGGGGAAGTTCACTCAAAAATGTTTACTCATACTCAACCTCACGTTTCATACAAGTATTAGCTTATTTTTTTCTATTGAACACAAAAGAAGTTATCTTGAAACATGTTGAAAACCCGTAACCATTGATTTTTATATAAGAAAATCAACTATCATGGAAGCCGATGGTTCCAAGTTTCCAACTTTTTTTTAAACTGACTTCTTTTGTGTTCAACAGGAAAGAAACTCAAACAGGTTTTTTGAGTAAACGATGACAGAATGTTTAATTTTGGGTGAACTGTCTGTTTAAAGTGTATTTATTTATTTTAATATAAATGAAAGAGTTGTAAAGTACCACTGTGAAGGCCTCCTAACATGAATCTCATAGTATGACTTCTGTTTTAAAGAGATTTATTTAAATAAAAACATTTTAGCCCTGCCGTTGTCTGCATCTGAAGCTTTAGAGTCAAAGTGAAACCTGCTGTGGTTTATCTGAGGTTATTGGAAGTGACTTAGTGACAATAAAAATGTGGTTTGATGAGTGGACAAACATGTTGCTCTTCTTTACTACTGCATGTGTGTTTCATCCAGAGAAATATTATTTGATGCACAGTCCCATATGTCCTAAGTATACTATAATGTTTACAGTGCTAAAAACAGCATATTCTTATAACAGCACATGGCCAGCAAAAACCAGCTCAAAATCATTAGAAATTAATTTACCAACAGCAAAGACATGCGAGGGGCCCAAAATTACTGCAGGATTAAACCAAACATAAAAATAACAGAAACTCTATCTAAGATATGTACAGCACTCAAAATATATTCGTTAAATATGTTAAAAGAGACATCCTAATCTTGTTAAGGTGAAAGACAGAGTGTGCTGTAGTGTAGAGTCTTTAAAAACAAAAGACAGAAACCAAAGGGGATGCAGAAAAGCCACAAAACGAACGAGAACATGAAATGCGCACACAATGCCGAGGCTCGCACACTAGACCAAGATTTTTTTTTTAATGCATGGCTGAAGAGTTTCCTGTTATAAATTGTAGGCATATTTTTAAAATGCTTTACAGCACAAGTGTTTTGTTCTGTTGGTGTTTTTTGTTTTTTCATTTTTTTAATGTTTCCATTGAATGCTTCAACATGGCAGGAGACTAGATTCTGAGTCAAAGTGAAACTGCTGTGGTCTGAGTTGTCTGAAGTTTGTTTAGTGGCAGAGAGACTCAGATAAATGTGGTCTATTAGAAAGGCAATTACCTTGCTCCTGTTAACTATTGCATGTGTGTGGTCGATTAATGGGTAAATGGGCAAAGACACAATTTTCCATTAAACCAGAGATGCCCAAACTGGAGCCCTCGGCCCAAAGTTGCCGCACGGTAACCTTTAATTTGGCCCACCATCCAATTTGAGAAAAGATTGTCATTTCTATTTTAATATAACATTGTTTTTGTTTGTTTGTTTTATTGCTCAGCAACCAAAAAGTCAAGTGAAATCAAATGTTTCAATTAAATGTATCTGTAAATTAATCTGATTTTATAAAATGTAAGTCACTCGACGCACAGAAACAATGCAGAAACATTAGAGAGCATATCAAGACAAAAACAGGTGCTCCACTGAACTCCATTCTGTTAAATAAATAAGTTAGATAATATGAAGCAATGTTTTCTAGTTTTTGTTTTTTTAATATCAATAAATAAATTAGGAAATGTCTCATGGCAACTTTAACTTAATACAGTGTGATATATTTACCTTCGCCCCACCACCCTCAATTACGTTTGGTTTTTGGCCCTTCATAAGAAAAAGTTTGGGCACTCCTGCGTTACATATTTCCACACTATACACAAATTCACAGAAAATAGTGAGACCAATAACCATTGACATCTGATCTCTTTTGTACATACTGAAACTGGGATGCTCTTATCTCATCTCACAAATCAGTAGAATGAAATAAACTAGTTCTGCAACATTCAGGATGTGAGTGATGTGTAAGAAGCGTTAAGATAAACATTCGCAAATATCATTAGCCTGCAGAAAAAAAATGTAAGAAATGAACGGCTCTTGTTACTTACTGGGGTGGGTTTCATTTCTGTGTGGAGTTTGTATGTTCTCACTGCGTTAACGTAGGTTTTCTCCGGGTGCTCCGGTTTCCCCCACAGTCCAAAGACATGTGGTACAGGTGAATTGGGTAGACTAAGTTTCCAGAGATGGATTGTGGCTGGAAGGGCATCCGCTGCATAAAAACGTGCTGAATAAGTTGCCGGTTCATTCCACTGTGGCGACTCGGATTAATAAAGGGACTAAGCCGAAAAGAAAATGAATGAATGAATAAATATTTTGGTACCTCAAAATAGTTAAAAATTGTGTAGAAAATGTCACTAAAATGCAGTATTTAAACCTCATAATTAAATAGAAAATAAGGTAAATAACTGCAAAAATGAATGTCCACTTAAAAAAAGAAAAAGAACCACCCTTTTTACCAGGCTGGCTACGGGCCTGCTGTTGTTAAAAGCAGGGGGGCCCCCCTCGGTAAACTCTGTCCACCCCTGTGGCCACCCCTTTGGCCACCCCTATAAAATTTTGCTGTTGACATTATGTACTT